TAAACGCTGCCTTTAGAAACAGGAACTCTCCCTGTTAAGGCCCTGAACGCTGCCTTTAGAAACAGGAACTCTCCCTGTTAAGGCCCTGAACGCTGCCTTTAGAAACAGGAACTCTCCCTGTTAAGGGCCTGAACGCTGCCCTTAGAAACAAGAAATACTGACACAGATGTCACGCTCGGGGGCGCTCTGCTGAATCTGTGACCATGTTTGGCTCTATTCTTGTGTTTTTGGTGATTTCCTGGGGGGGGGATGATGAAAGTAGGCTGACCCTGAAACAGCCACACATTTGGTCAATTTGCACGTTTGGGGGGGGGGGGCTCCTTTTGTTTTGTTTAATCTCATTTGGATTTTGTTTCTCCCCCTTTCCATCTGCCAGCTCCATTCTTAGGCATATTTCTCATGTTTTCTGCTGTTTTTTCAGCACCACCTTGCCCCACCGATGCAACGCTCTGGCGGGCTCAGCGGGCCGGAATACAGTTCCGGTACCGGCCCGTGGCTAACAGTGCCGCTCTCGTCACATTCCGACGGACTCAGCGGGCCGGCGTAAAGCTCCGGTACCGGCCCGTGTGAGCCGCTCTCGTCACATTCCGACGGGCTCAGCGGGCCGGCGTATAGCTCCGGTACCGGCCCGTGGCTCATAGTGTTGCTCTCGTGACTCTCCAGCGGGCTCAGTGGGGCAGCGTACAGTTCCAGTATATGCTGAAAAATGTGAAGCTGTAAGAATGCCTCTTGGGCTGAGGGCGGGGATTGTCTGCTGTGGGCTAAATATCCGACTCTCATGTTTGCCTTTCCTCTGAAATCCTGGGAGATTCACAGGAAAACTGTCAGATTTCGTGCTTGAGGGGCGTTCACCAAGCAGCCAGTTCACTAAACCCCACGTCAGACCACCTCCCAGGAGCAGCGGTCCAACGCTTCCCTGGAGGGGGTGTGGGGAGGGTGCTGTGTGTGTCAGCAGGTGGCGCTCTGGTCCACATAAGGCAGATTGTTTTTGGCCAAAATGGGGGAAGGGGGAGGGCACTCAGTGCCATTTCTGAATTGGCCCGCTGATCACAAAGAGACTGGGAACAATTGGCTTGTTGTCACGGTCTCTCCAGCGCCCCCTATTGGGTTCCCACCACTCCAACTCCCTCTAACCCCCCCGCCCCCCAAAACACCCCTACTCTCAGCACTCCTGACTGTGACCATGCCCCAGGCCCGGATCCCCAGGAAGGCATCAGAACCTCTCCCATGGTGACGAACGGCTGTGCAGTGTGTCACGTCGACCTGTGTCTCAGACATTCCACTGTTCCTCCCATTTTGTTACCATCATGCTGCCCTCTTGTGATCCTCCCTGCCCACACTCCCTCAAACCCACTGGGTAGTTCAGGCCAGGCAGCCCAGCCATGCACATAAGCGTGGAGCGTCATCATGATTAGCCAAGGACCAAGAGAGCCTCCCATGATAATAGCACAGCATAATTAAACTGCCATGTGCTGATTAAGAAGTTTTAAGATCCAAACAACTCTTTTGATTCTAATCTTCATGTAAATCTGCACTGACTACAGAACTTGACAATGGAATAGTGATTGAATGTGTAAATTAGTCACTTGCCAATATAGCCTACCTTTGACTAAGGAATTATCCTGATATATGACTTGCTACAAAACATTTCTTAACTAATCTATTTGTTTAAAAAAAATGCCATGCACTCTGCGGTAATGGTGCGTTTAATTAAAAATAATTAAAAACAAGTAACTTAACTCCTAGACCACCTCCTGTCTGAATCACACAATATATGGAAAGTACAAAGCTCATTTAATTCAGTAGCGTTATGGCTCATCTTGATAACAGCATATCTTTATCGTTTTTCGTTGTCGCGACAGTATTAGTTATATAGAAATATAATTCTCGTTATTTTATGAATATGGGCTCCCAGGAAATTACAACAAAAGCCACTCTTAAGATAGCTAAGAAATGTCTGTTTTTAGCGTTCTTGAACGGGAAATGAAGCAGGGAGTTAACGAGGAATAGCATGGGAATCTGAAGGCAGAAAATAAAACCCTGAAAAGCCCCATAAAGGGCGCCGGCAATGCGCTTATTCAGAGTATCGCTGCCTTTCCCACAAATCTGCGGGACTCCTGTGAATGTGAATGTGTGTGTGCGTCGGCTCCCTTTCAGAGCCGCGCCGGTGTGTGCGTCCCTGAGCGAAGACACCTCGTTATTCCACACTTTCATCTGTTGTTACCAGTCAAGAAATAGAGAGGCTTTGTTGACGACGGATTGAGGGAAAGCGCCTTGAAAGCCTTTCTCTGGAGTGGGGGGATTGAGGGCGGGGGCTGGGGTGAGGGGATGCTAATTATGCATGGCGATTGTTGATGGCTTGATTGTCTGCGTACAGCTGCACACAGAGCCGGGGGTGGAGGGAGGGATGGGGACGGAGGCAGACTCCCTGACGCCAGTCTCGAAACTCTCCCATCCCCTGGAAAAGAGCCGCGATTGTGCTGCGCTCTTTCCGACTGCAGGGCACCTGATCCCCGCCGCAGCCACAGCACCGCGGAGTGGCCAGCCACTGTGCATTGTGCAAGACAAGCCCATTTCATTATTTATTAGAAGCTCATTTATTTTAGTGGACCGGGACGCTGGTATTTTCGGGATGGTGTTTAGCTGTTCTCCTGCCGGTTTCTGCACACATCGTGTACCCCATAATCAGCAGCATGTCTCCCATCTCCCGGTTCCTAGCGGTCCGCATGTACTGAACCAGAAGGCACCGGCGATTCGACCATGGCTGCGCTATCGCCAGCGATAACTGGGCAATGTAACCCAGTACGATCGGAGAGAAATCTTCCTCCTTATCATATCTGAAGGCAGAGACCAAACAAAAGAAGCCGTACATTTGGTCGTGCGTTCCCACTTTTTATTACGCTCAAGTGTGAGACAAATCCTGCGTTATTAGTCGATATGATTGCATGAATCCCGCTTTCGCACTGAATATAACAGCCAGCTGTAAAACAATCACCAGCAGAGTAAAAAGAGAGCGAAGCAAATGCTGGCGTCCACATCTGTGCGCCCCTGAATTGGGGGGAGAGGGTTGATTGACAGGAGCGACCCTTACTGCGTTTAATGTCCACCGGGGCGGGCTCAGTGTCCGGAGTGACGGGCCCGGCGGGGCGGAGGTCCTGGCTGGTCAATGCGGGCCGCTTGCCAAAGGGACGCGCTGGAACGGCTGAATGGATGACGTCGGGAGCCTGGCGCCAGGCTGTCTGGGACTGGCGCGTTAGATCAACACAGCTGGGAAGGAATAGGACGCACAGCTGGCGGTGGGGCGCATTCCTCCACAAAAACAGGATTGTGAGAAAGGGGAAAATAAGACCAAATAGGAACAGAGGGGCGCGCTTTGATGTTGACTAAAAATGCATGTCATAAACTCAGCAATGAGTAATTTCCAAATCTGAAAATAGCATATCGGGTAGCCCACTCTCAACTTTTCTTGATATTCTGGTTTAATTTTAATTGTTATTTTCAAGGTGCAAGATAGAAATGGTTGCAGTATCAACGACCTGCATAACAGTGGATCGGGGCAAAGTCACGGGTTCCTGGCCCGCCGGACACGCCACGCGACTGCAGATGTTGACTAGAAACGGGCGAAAGAGCTTATTGTGTAACGCGGAGATAGTCACTGCTGCCTGGAAATCGATGCAAAAGTTTTCCCAGCCGCCACAGTGTATGCGTTCCCCCAAGATAAACTGAGAAAATCTAGCAGCATATAAAAATCAAAGCGCACGATCCTGCGTTTAAGCTGTTTGTCATTTTATTATGGAAAAAAGTTACCGTTGTTATCGCCCCGACAGTGTACCTGGAAAAGCCATTTGCGAGGGAGGAATTTAGAAATTACACCCCGAGGGAATGTCAGTGTAAACGATAGCAGTTAACGGCTTCAAACTGCAAGTAAAGGTATGACTATACGTGTCTCCATGACATTATCAAAACGAATACAAAATTAATTGACCGAGTCAAATTTACCCAGTTTACCAGAAAATGGTCTGGTTGGCTTGGAGCACAATTACTATTTTTGTACAGTGCTTAGTGGTTGACAACAGTGGGGGTCAATTATTTTTGACGTCAGGGTGTCTACTGGTCAAAAGAGAAAGAGGCTGGTGAACTGGGTGTCGTATTTTGCTTAAATTACATGCTTCTGTAAAACAAAATTACCGTTCGTCAGTCTCTACAAAGCATGGATCATAAGCACGTTTTAATTTTTAATTAATGAACTGAATAACACACAAACAAAAATGTATCCTCCAATTATTCTCTCTTGCAATTTTCCTGCTCGAAATTATGTTACTTAAACTCCCCACCGAGTAGAAGACTTTCTCTGGTATTACTTCCTCATTCTTTGAATTACGCCTGTGATTGACATCTAATTACAACCAATCATAGAGAAGCGTTTTCAGCGACTCGACGCTGTCCTTGTGAGATTGCCCCTCTATTGGCTGGTTGGTGCATGAGGGTTTGTTTATTAGCAGGAGGGGGCGGGGAAACGTGCTTAAATATAACACCTCGGCATCATTTCGGCTGTTCAGTCTTCTAAATGTAACTGTGGTGCGGAAGGATAGATAATAGACTATATACAGGCAGAGCGATTCTATTATTAGACAGACATCACACATTTGTAGCTTTCACTTTCACCAAAGTTTCAAACCGCTTGACCCACGTAGCAGCCGCGCTCCTAGTTTCCGGAATAAAGATGAAGGCTGTCAGTCCGATGCGGTCCGTCCGGAGCTGCTACGAGGCGGTGTGCTGCATCTCCGATCAGAGCTTGGGCATCTCCCGGACCAAGGCTGCCGTGGAGGAGCCTTTAGGCGCGCTGTGCGACATGAACGACTGCTACTCGAAGCTGAAGGCGCTGGTACCCAGCATCCCGCAGAACAGGAGCGTCAGCCAGGTGGAGATCCTGCAGCATGTCATCGACTACATCTTCGACCTGCAGATCGCCCTGGAGGGCGAGGCGGCCGTCAGCCCGACGCCCGGCGTGCTGCTGTCACTCAAGGTAAGGCTGCCTACTCTCATTGACAGCGGCTGGTAAAAGCCTAAGATCCGGGAACCACGTTATTCCATAATCATCTGCTGACTCGCCCACATTGCGTGTGAAATAAAAAAAATAAAAAATAAAATGTATGATTGCACTGGTTCACTATGCAGCATATCTATATCGTGTGTATATAATTATGTATTTTTATACTGCGCAGCACTGGTTGAGACGCCACACGGAGCTTCGTTATACATGTGCAATGACAAACATTCTGTTAGATTCACATTCCGAGTCTGATTTCGGGGGTCGTCGCACATTGCTGGGGGGCACACAGTGAGAGTACTGTGGGACGCCCCAGGTGTTCCACCGTATCTCGCGCTTTTTTCTACAGATGTCTCCTTTTTATTCTAGGCTTCGGACATAACGTGCAGTTTTGCTAAAGAAGACGGTGGATTGTGCCACTAGCAGGTGGCTGACACGGTGGGTACCGACGTGAAACCCGTTACCCTTTCAAAAGTTTAAAAATGGTGTAGATGTAGACAAAGTGACAACTGATCCAGGAGAAGTCTAATGACGCTAAGAATATCCCGAACCGGAGCTGTATTTATCCTTAAGTCCATCCGACCTACCGGCTTGTGCCGAGTTTAATTTCCTTTTGGACCGGTTTTTAAATGCTCCTACCCACCCTCACCGCGACCGCATGCTCCGGTAGCTGCCAATTAGCACGCATTTAATGTGCGCTAGGCGCTTTATCGCTATCAGCTGGAGATGAAGCGGAGTTCCCCCAGGCGCCAGTCAGTCTGCGGAGCCGCCGCTGGAGCCGCCTGTAGGGACAGAAAGGCGAGCAACTGATTTTTTTTTCTTTTTCCCCTTCTTTCTTTCTCTCCTATTCACTTTGCAGGTGCGGGAAACACATGGGCCCACTTCACTTTGGGCAAGAACGGGAAGGAGGGGTGGGGTAGTTATTTTCAAGGACTTGGGGGGGTGGTGGGGAAAGTGGGATGTCATGACAGAAGATTAACCTCAGGTCCTCGACGCTCATTCATTTCCAGGCTGCGAGAGGCTTAAACACACCAAAGTACAAAGACATGAGGACAGTGTCTCCATTGTTACAGTCTGTTCATTCAACTTTCCTTGAATTTGAACCCAAATGATTTGGACATATTATATCACAATCTCTCCGTACTCTTCCTTTCGCTCCCCTTTTCCATTACGGTGGGTTTCCTAAAGCTCTTGAGAAATGTTTGGGATGTATCTAGCTAACAGTGGGTTTTGTACAGACTTGGGGGTGGGGGGAGTAGAACTCTATAATAGAGTCAATTTGTGAATGTTTGTAGGGATTGTGGATTTCTACAAACAACGTTACTGAGTTTTATAAACTTTTATAAAAACGTGTTTTTATATGTACCTTTTCTACATGCTGAAATAAACTGATTATGTACATGCTGTGTGCTAACTGCTCGATTTGTGGGGCTCTCGAGGGCCGGGCGGCCGGTTGTGCAGACTGGGCCCTGGGCCCCAGGACACCCTGCTATGACTTCAGCTTTTGACAGGAAAGTGAAGTGCTTTAGCGCCCAATGGAGTCAGAAACAGGGCAGCTGTGTTGGAGATGAAACAAATCTGAGATGTTGGCTGTCGCCATCTTGAAATGAGTTTGTCTAGCTGGGGATCTACCTCGGATGCACAGCTGCCTACGCACCCTCCATGGTAGGCTAAATTAAAGGGCGTAATGGCTCATAAAAAAGACATTTATTGTAGATTTGAATGGATTTTAAAGCAAATATGCCTGCAACTGGAGAAAGTTTCTCAAACAAAGAAAATTACTACCTTGTTCAAGGGTACAAGTGCAGCCTTGTTTTACACCGATTTGAAGTGGACCCCCCCCCCTCTGCTACGGCAGGGTGGCGTGATGGCTGCGCAGATCCCCCCTGTCTGCTACGGCAGGGTGGCGTGATGGCTGCGCAGTGTGCGGTTTGCTCCTCTGTCTGCAGACCTGTTTACAAGTCGCTGATCAGACTGAAGCCGCATGGGGGTTAGGGTGGGGGGTGTTTGCTAATGTTTGAATGCTCTTGGATGTCTGTGCTTGCTGGACAAACCCATAATCCCCTTGTACTTAGCTTCTGCTGTGTGGGTTTTCATCCAGCCCAAGTGGCTTTGTGAGGGCCCTGCACCTGCAAGCTAGCGCCCCCATCAGGGTGGGCAGCCAGCTGTCTGAACACAAAGCCACAGGTAACTTTTAATATTACTCATGTGCTATATAGAGCGTTCCCAGAAACGGCTGTGAGAGGCAGGTGTTAGTCACATGTCTTTTTATGTACTGAGGTTAAAACTCACGCCATCGGTGTGGCTTCGGCGTGATGCTGAGCGCGACGCCGTCAGAATCCGCATGGGTCACTTACTCATTCTCACACCTGTTATTTCACAGCAGTGTACACAAGTGCCTTCAAGTGACGAGCTTCTCACAGGTCACGGCGAATCAGAGAGCGGGTGCTGAGGCTGTGTCTGCAGTCAAGTGAAGTTTTCCTGATTTTTTTTTTCTGAAGTGGTTTTTCTGCTTGAGTACCCAGAAGGGGCTATTTGATGGCTGCTCTCCAGTGCCTCTATTTATACCACCAGGCGGTGAGGCGTGTTTATGAGAGCAGCTCAGTTTGCACACCGGGGGCAGGCAGCCGAAAACATCTGCCCTCTGGCCTGCTGCTCTTCTCTCACACCTTCTTGGCCTCATCTTTTCTGTCTTCATCTATGGCTTTTTTTCCCCCTCAAAAGCCAGTTTGTGTGACACTTGGCTGTCACTGAGCCGTCTCCTAAATGCAACCTCAGTGAACAGGCAGTTCCCAGCGTTTCATTCATTTTCACTAGGGAAGCGTCATGTTAGAACGGCCATCCATGTTCCCAAACACTTAGAGGAACTGGGTTCAGGGTACGCTAAACAAAATCTACCTTCCTCGGTGGGACCACTTCCACTGTGACCTGTCCATGTGACCTGCCCATGTGCTCTCAAAGGTCACCATCTTTCATGGCTACAGGCTTCTCCTTGAGCTGGCAGCTCTGTTTTTCCTGTTGGCCAATCTTCTCCAAACACTCAGCTTCATCTCTACAAGTCTGTGACTGCACAAGAGAGGATTTGATGTGACCCATTCCGTGGATTTGCTCTGAGCACCACAGCTGAGCAAAGCAGGCTTTCATCATGCATGCACAATAACAGTGAAGATATTCTAAGATTCTAGTAGAAAGGCCAAAAAATCATAGCAGGGACACAATTTGTCTGTTCATGCTGCGGGGGCTTCGCTCAGCAAACTTCTGATTACTCCTCTTGCATACTAGCAATAAGGCTAGAAGAATTTGTCAAGATAACACAATGTTCCCATAAGATTACTGTGATGGTACGGCAGTCTCTATGCACCTCTGCTGAATCTACTGGAGAAAAAAAAAAAACAAATGTGTTGGCTGGTAAAAAAAAATCTGTACATTGATTGAGAATGATCTTCAGGTACAGCTCTGGAATTTAAAACACTTTCCAGTGAGAGCTGAATAAACAAGAGTAAAACTGCATCCAGTTTAATTTGTGCGCTATGGTAGCATTGCCAAGCTGGGAAGGAGCCATCTTTACAGAATCTCCTAGGTCTCCGTCCCGCAGCTTTGGGGATCGTGGCTACACAGCCCACCTGTGCTGTTCAGGGGGGAGTTTCTCTCCCTGATGCAGGTGTCGGCTGGCGCCGGCCAGTCTGCTCCCCCCCCCCCTTCTCAAATCTCTCCCACACGATCAGCTACACATAATCTACTGGGCCGTTCTGGCCTGCACTCCCCGCTCCTAGCTACCCCTACCGCCAAGATAGCAGTTACAAATTTTGAGAATTTTTGGGTGACTTTTATCACAGACACAGTCACCACCTGTAACCACTACAGTTCAACAGTTTTTCAGCTTCAGCTGTCTGTTCGGGCTACCATTCAGGGTAACTGATTTTCTTTGGTAAGCTCTTTCGTTCACATGACTTCTGCTCGTAAATCCTGAATAGCACCTCGTAAACGTGATGCTGACCAACGCGCTTCACCCCAGTGCAGCAGTTCAGTTTGATGAAATAGGCTCATATCGGTTTACATTTAGTACATTATTCACGTCTTTCTACCCTCAACAAAATGCAGATGGCCAGGGAAAATTGTGTTTTACTTTCAGCACGTTTAACTACCTATTGCGCCGTCTTGTGTAATTTTTTTGTTTGCAAAAATGTTAACCATGAGTCGGACACTTAATCTTACGCTTAAAGGAGGGATTCCCTTAGTTTCTGATGAGGATAATGGATGGATTAATGGGCGGACTAACGGCACACACGTATTTTTTGTGCGTTTATATAAATGTAATCGGGTTATTTGTAAAAATAAATAAAGTATATCGTAACCCAGTTAACAGAATAATAAGTCGACCTCTCTGTTGGGCCCTTAAAATGTAGGCAATTCCTCCGTTAAAATATATAATCTAAAATGGGTAAAATGGTCAAATCAAATTAGTTTCACGTCTGTAACAGATGTGTCACATCCATTTGCTTTACTAGTGCACCACCTAGTGGTCACTTTACGAAGCCTCAGTAACCGATTTATTCGTGTCTTCGATGACAAAAATCATTTCCATATTGTCAGGTAAAAAGGTGACAAAGTGCGGTATATCCCTGGTTACAAATGGCCATCGTAAACAAGTAAAGATTTTACCTTCACTAGAAGAAAATTCCCAGGAAATTCAGCTTTCTATTTCACACACGACTAAGTGATCAATAAGCAAAAAAACTAGTAATATAACTGCTAGTAATACATCGGTTTTAAATGCCCCGGAAAACAATTTTAAACAGGCAATATAAATGTAACATTTATATTCATCCATTTTCCGACTGGTTATCCCGGACAGGGTAACCAGGGGCTGAGGGCGGCCATCTGGAGTCCATCCCACACAGCATAAGGCACAAAGCAGGAAAGGACCTTTGATGGGATGCCGGTCAAAATGCTGACGTCAGCACTGAAAATCAATGAACTATTAAGATGAGGTCTGTTGTCATTCACGATAAGGTGCAGTTGAAGGTTTGATTTTGTACTTACCGTTGCATTAAGAACCGTTCGAAGTAAAATTTTGAGATGACTGAAACGTGTAATAAAGCAACACGTAATTGAGAATTGAGCGGGTGCCATTTTACAATAAGGCTACCCATTTAATAAAGAGTTTATGAATGGTTTATAATCTGGTTATTAATTAGGTTGGAACAGTTTGTAAATTATTAATAAGCAATTTTAAACAAGTTATAACAGTTTTCTTTTTATTAATGAGTTACTACCATTTACAAGTGGTACCATTGTGCGTTACTTGTCGCTGAAACAGGGTTTTAAGTGGTGTAAGAGGTTCGCATTCCTGACATTTTGTTATCCATGTGTAACAAGTACATTGTTCTAATCATTCATCCGCATCTGGTATAAACAGCATATATAAAAAGAGATGTGCAACGCTTAAGTAAAACCAAGAGTACTAAACAATGCTAAAATGTTTTATTCCGTGCTTATATATAGTACATTTAGTCTCTACAGAGTCAAACACACAGCATTCCTCTGGGAAGTGCTACAGCTATGAAGGATTACCACATTCTGCCAAATGGCGGGGCACCATTTTGCTGGGCAAATGAATGCAATTGTTCATCCATCCATCCTACAACCGCTTACCCAGGTCAGGATCCCGGGAAAAAAAATGAACAGCGTTATCTATGTTACAGTGACGCACGTTAGTTGAACCCCGTTTTACAGATTTTAAAGCGGTACAAAATCCCGCTACTCTTCCAAGCAAGAACATTTAGCCTTCCTGGGCGTCTGTTATATATAATAAAGTCGCTGCCATGTAAATTATACATGTCTCCGAGGTGCACGCCCCACTATTTCATGGTAAGCCACGCCTCCCCCCCAACTGCTTTATGCAAGTATTCGCAGTTGAACGGAGGCGCTGTGCTGTTAGCCAATCAGAGCGCGCCTCTGACCGCGGGAAATCCAAATTTCGCGGGACGAAGTTTGGCGCTAAAACAGAGGCTCTGAGATCTGCTGGCGGTCCTAGGAGCAGTGATCGCTACGGGGGGCGGGGGAGAAAGCAAACGTTTCCCGCGAACATCTTAACAAGATATTTTTTTTCCCTATTCGAGTCTCTCCCGCAGGATTTCCTCAATTTGGACATGTGTGTATTGGTGCGGTTCGCTGCGGTTCCATAGAGGACATATTTGTAGTACTGGGCTGACGGGGACACTGGCTAAAGGCTGTTGTATTTTATCGAGATATTATCTGAAGGCAAGTAAGGAGTAAAATATCAGCGCGCTTGACATACATTTGTTTGCAAGCATCAGATTGTATTACTTCTCTGATTCGGGGCTTTTAGTATTATCGTTATTGTAATTAATTGGCATTTTTTTTTTACATGTTTCATGTAGCCATTGTTGTCTTCTAGCTAGCCCGGCCGTATTGCAGTGGAAATGCTTCGGGGATACTCTGGGTAATGGCTCTGTATCTTTCTGACAGTGTATCTCTTCCGTCAGTCGCTGGAAGAGGATGATGCGGATATGCAGGGGGGTTTCTCCCGCTGCGGCGAGACCTAACGCCGGGCACTCGGGTCTTCAGAGGAAGGTCGTCCCTGGAGGGAAAACGGAGATATTCGGCAGCGCACTTTGTAGCCCGCCGATCAGCGCCGTGCCGGTCGCTTATTTCACCCAGATCTGCAGCTCGTCCGGCGCCGACCAGAGGAACGGTTACCCCTGCGCGACCCCCCACGGACCCGATGTGAAGCCCGTCAGATCGGCCTCCGGGAGACTTCCGGTACAGTGATCGCCGGCTTGTGACTAAATGGGTTTTTAAGCACTTTAAATGTGCGTGAGCTGGGATGTAGTGCACGTGCTCCCGGACACTGCGGCCATTTAGAGCGTCCATCGTCTGCTGTATGAGGGCTTTATCACCTTTATTAAGGTATGTTGTAATGACGGTGCCCCTGTTGGATTTCTGAAACTGTCGGAGGTTTTCTGCTTGAAGTAGTGGGGGCGGCCGTCGCGCTTCCCTTCAGGAGCCGTGCGTCGCCCGGAGCTGGCCGGGGGGTTCTGGCGGGGGCCCTAGACGCTGCGACCGCACACCAGCTGCTGCAGGCGGCCTGGGGTCTGGGGCGGCTGGTCCTCACAGGAGGGTGGGGGGTTGGGGTGCCTGAATACAAAGTGAATTTGGGTACATGGGCGGGGGGGTGTTAACGTCCTTTGCCCGGCTGCTGTCTTAACGCAAGCTGCATTTACACGGTCTCTTGTCGAGCTGGGCGGAGATGCTGCCTCTCACAGGATCTCTTCTGCTCCGTCCAGCCATTAATTCCCGCGTTTGTTCTGCTGGAGCAGGAATATGCCGGCTGCCCCGGGCCGCATCTGCCTATTAACTTTCCCACTGCCTGTTTTCACTGCCGTTTGGGGCTGTCCTCCTCCTCCCTGGGTCATTTTATCATGTTCCTGTCAGCACGGAGGTCCCGGCCCTGGCTGGGGTCAGCTGGCTGTGTCTGTCGAAGCAGTCAGCTGCAGGGGGTGGGGGGCAGTGACAGGTGGCAGGAATGTGTTGCTTGTTATGCACTTTTCCATGAAAGTGACGTTTCAGTTCCAGGGGAAACGTTCAGATTCTCCAGTACTGACTAGAACCTGAAGGTTCTGGTTAGTCCTGAGGTGGAGGAGGAGGGGGAGGGGGGGGGGGGGGGGGAGATTACATGTGTCCTTTTGGGGGCCAAGGCTGCCCCAACCGGCAGACCAGAGTGGGGGGGCAAACCTCCCCAGGGGGCCCTAGACTGCAGGCCCTTTCCACAAGTCCCTTCAATCTGTCACTTTATGTTCTGTATTCAAATTGTGCAAATTAATTAATATTCAGATTGAGTCCATTGTTGCATGACTAACTGAGGAATGCTAACAGACGTAGTTTTCTACGCCATAAAACCTCTTGCTGCAGTGATCTGAAACCAGGGTGGTCTGGATTGCGTACAGTGTAGTTTCTGGAATTAACTCTTGTGAAACAGGGTTGTGACACCGTCGGTCCATGCTCCACCCTACTCAGTGATGGAGGGTGGCGCTTTGGCTGAAGATGCTCCTTGTCTGTTTTTTTCTGAGCCTTTGTGCTTGCTGTCATTGCTAGACCGTGATCAGGTGATGTGGCGTTACTATGGTAATCTGCACACGCCCACAGGCCTTGAGACTTCTGTATGGTTAGGGTGTTGGCGTTCTGGCCCCAGTAACGGAGTGATCTCCTGTGCATGTCCCTCAGAGCTGCGGGCCCACAGGGGGGTGCTGCTCCGTGTTCATCGGGAGCTCCGTTACCGCCGACGGCCGTGAAGAGGCCTCAGACTTGTCTCCTTAACCCTAATCCCCCACCACCCAGAAAACAGCCATAACCGCTACACCCACAGCAACCCCGTCAGACTGGATTCACTGGAACGACGGCAACGTGCAGTCGGAAAATATTGGAACTGAGGGTGGAACAGCAGCTGAGGCGTGTTTCTGCAGATTCCCGGTCACTGAACTAAAGAGCGTGTGTGTGTGTGTGTGTGTGTGTGAGTAAATGGGTTTTTAAACAGTAAGTGTGCATGAGCTGGGATGTAGTGCACGTGCTCCCAGACACTGTGGCCATTTAGCGCGTCCATCGTCTGCTGTATGAAAGCGGGGGGGTGAGGAATCGGTCACCCCCTGCGGCCCCGAACAGGTGCCCCCCGCACTGAGGATCCTATTGCTGTGAACACAACACAGGGCTGGTTGGGGAGTGGGGTGGGTAACATATAATATATATCCACACCCTCTGATTATTGTGTTCCTGTGGGGTGGGGGTTTACAGTAGTGGTATTGTTTCAGTTTTTTTATATTTAAGAAGAAGGAAAAAAACATCACCTATTACTTTATTTTTCCATGTAATAACTCCATTCAGAGAAATGGCAGTGTGACCAATCAAGGAGATAAAACTTTAAAATTAAAAATGCTTCCTAGCTTTGACTTGTAGGTGCTTTGTCTGATCTTTTTCCATTAAATTCAAATGATATAATATTAAATGTAAAAATAACAAGTGTTATTTTCTTTGGGGTGAGGTTCATGGTAAAAAGATAAGCATGTCAACAGCCCACAGCAAGGGCACTGCTGCCAAATTGTATCTTTATAAAGGAAAATTATTATATTTGACAAGAACATATATGACGTTAAGCGTGTCACTGATGGAAAGTGCCCACAAACGATCGCAGCACAGTGAGTCTATAGCAGGGGTACCCAATCTTATCCGCTAAGGGCCGGTGTGTATGCGGGTTTTCGCTGCAACTCCGTAATTAGATTACTAATTAGAGGACTGATTGGCTGAGGAGTCCTCACACCTGGGTTTGGACAGCTGACCTACAGGTTATCCCAAAAACCTTTGCGGATAAGATTGGATACCCCTGGTCGATAGAGATAATAAGTATTATAATCTGCAGAACCCAGGAGAGCAGAGAATGTTTCTGATGCAGCTGTCCCACATAAAGGGGCATCTCTTAAAATGAGATGCTCTTTTTAACAGTCGCTGTCGGTTTAATACTAGCGGCAGCGCAGCTACGAAACCAGCGGTTCGCATGATGCTCAGGGTTACATGCTGAAGAAACGTGCACATCCCGCGGCAAACATCACAGAGTTATGATATTTGCGATTAACATAAATACACGAATACACATATTAATCGACACCATGTAATAATCCGCGCGGTGCGGTAAAAGCACGCCGGCTGCCGATGGGCTCCACGCCTTCACGTTGTGCCAGCCGACAGCAGGGGGGATCACCGCTCACGTGACATGCGACTGAGACGACGTTGATCACGCTTGAAGTTTGTGGCACCCTTTAGCCAGGAGGAGAGTAATTTGCGCCGTCTGCTGTTGTACAATAAAATTTAAATTCTAACCCTTGGAAATAAGACCCATAAGCCCTAGTTGTTCCAGATGCATTTTTTTATTTTGGGAAAAAACATCCCCTTATACCCACACCAATATGTATATGAAAATGACAGGCATATCGCAATACGTGATGCCCGTTCACAAGGAGAAGGAGCTGTGTGATTGAATGGGCTGGGTGTGTGGCCTGTAGCAGTGAGTGGGGGGAGTGGGAGTGGCCTGTGGCAGTGAGTAGGGGTGTGTGGGTGTGGCCTGTGGCAGTGAGTAGGGGTGTGTGGGTGTGGCCTGTGGCAGTGAGTAGGGGTGTGTGGGTGTGGCCTGTGGCAGTGAGTAGGGGTGTGTGGGTGTGGCCTGTAGCAGTGAGTGGGGGGAGTGGCCTGTGAAAGTGAGTAGGTGTGACAGGAGGTGTGGCCTGCCAGTGAATGGGAGGGCAGTGGGTGTGGCCTAGGTCCTTTCTGACTGGGAGGGTGGCAGTGGGTGGAGATCATTCATATAAATTTGAATATCGTGACTATTATGATATTGCCTAAACACTTGATTTCTTGCAGTTATGATGCAATATTTTTAAACAAAATCCTTGAAAGTTTGAATCTTTTTTTGGCAGTTTATCATTATACCTGTCTCATCGAAATCAAACCAAAAACCGTTAGTCATATTTTACCGTTAATGACATGGTTTTGGGAATATTGCGATGAATATTGATTTTGTGAAAATCTCCGAAAATCTTGTAATATAATTTCTAGGGCGTGTTTCTCAGCCCTGGTTGCCGCCTTAGCATGGAGGAGGTATGTCCAGAGCCCTAAACCTGCCGCTCTTTGGGTGCAGAGAGCTTGAGACCCCATTACCATTTGCTCCCTCCCCCCCCACTCAGGCCAAGAGGAAGCTGGACTTGGAAGATCCCCCATATCTCCCTGACTACCGCACCCCCAAAGGAAAGGGGGCTGCAGTCAGGCTCTCTAGCCCCAAGAGTGAGTATCCGTGCTGGGGGGGAGGGTGGCTGGAGTGGGCAGTGAATCCCTGTGACAGCAGACGACGTCGTTCTAACACTGTTCACACTCCACAGCTGCACTAGGAGAGGCATCCTGTGTCTCTTAGCTGAGCCCCCAAGCAGACGGACACAGACACGCAGACACAGACACGCAGACACAGACATGCAGACACAGACATGCAGACAGATGCAGACACAGATGCAGACACAGACAGGCAGACACACGCAGACAGGCAGACACACGCAGACAGGCAGACACACGCAGACAGGCTCGGTTCGCTTTAATGCTCGTGGATCGGTGTTCTGCAGCCGCCCGTTGTGCTGATTAGTGAGCTGGTCCAGCTCCCATGTTCGGCCATCTCTGTGTCAAAACGCAGCCTCCAAGTCCCCGAGCGAGCGCACGCGGTACGACACCTCCCTGGGCCTCCTCACCAAGAAGTTTGTGGGACTGCTGAGCGAGTCATCGGATGGCGTGCTGGACCTCAACTGGGCCACCGAGGTGCTGGAGGTGCAGAAGAGGCGCATCTATGATATCACCAACGTGCTGGAGGGCGTGCAGCTCATCCGCAAAAAGTCCAAGAACAACATCCAGTGGCTGTGAGTGCATCAGCGGATTCGGGGACCACGGCATCGACGGGGGCTGGGGGGGCTGCGGGGGCCGGGGGCCAGGCGCCGGTTTGAGGGTCTGCGGGGGCCGGACGCCGGTTTGATGGCCGGCGCCTCTCCGTCCGCAGGGTCGGGAGGGCCTTCGAGGGCTCGGCCGGCGGCTCGGATCAGGCGCGGACCCTCAGGAGGGAGCTCAGCGAGCTGGAGAGAGCGGAGGAGGTCCTGGACCAGCTCATCCAGAGCAGCTCCACCCAGCTGAGCCAGCTGACTGAGAGTAAAGACAGCCAACAATATCCTTCCAGCGCTTATTAAGCCTGTGGGGGGGGTCTCGCCATTCCTGATGCACCGCGAAGGTGTCAGTAAAGCTCATATGTGATCCTCTCCTGTCACAACACACACTGTCCTTAACCGCTTTGCATGCTGGGATATGTCACCTACCAAGACATCCGCTCTATCGCCAGCTTGCAAGATCAGACAGTCATCGCCATCAAGGCTCCGTCCGAGACCAAGCTGGAGGTTCCGGCATCTTCGGGGGTCCGTCTGTCCGTCCGTCTGTCTGTCCGTCTGTCTGTCCGTCTGTCTGTCCGTCTGTCTGTCTGTCTGTCTGTGAATTCAGCAGCACTTCCGTGTCCTGTGTGCAGCATGTCCGTTTGTGTGAGGCTCTGTGCTACCTTCATGATGGTTGACCCCCCCTGGTATCGTGCACCCTCAGGATTCCCTGCAGATCCACCTGAAGAGCAGAAATGGCCCCATCGAGGTCTATCTGTGTCCAGAGGAGGAGCTCGATGACAGCAGTCCCGTTAAAGGCCCCGCCCCTGAGTCATGTGGTCCCACCCCTGAGTCATGTGGCCCCGCCCCTGAGTCATGTGGTCCCACCCCTGAGTCATGTGGCCCCGCCCCTCCTTCCATCAAGCAGGAGCCTGCTGAAGGTGGGCCTGGGACAGGGGAACTCCCTGTTGTACCTCGGGGATGATGGCTGCCCTTTTACTGACTGTGAATAAATACCTTGATAAAGTGAGACACCTGCTCTCTCCTTCCCCAATAACAGCAGAGATGCCAGCCATCACCTCCGGAGGCCCCCTGCTGGATGTCGAGGGCATCCTGGGATTGCCCCCCAGCCTGCTGCAGACGACGGAGGACCAGCTCCCCGGCTCCGCGGAGCCTGCCGGCCCCTTTGTCAGCTTCACCCCCCCTCTGGACCATGATGACTATCTGTGGGGGCTGGAGGACGGCGAGGGGGTGTCTGACTTCTTTGATACCTACGATTTAGGCGACCTCCTCAGAAGCTGAGGCCAGCGTAGTGGGCCGGGGGGGCCACAGTGGTGCTATGGGGTGGGGGTGAGGGATCAGGACAGGAACCCCCCCCCAGCCGTGCTTAGTTCTCCTAATTGATGTTACGTGGGCTAATTGGCGGTGTGTGTGTGTGTGTTTTTTTTTTTTTCTCCTTGGGTTTATAATTAAATAATTGGCTAGTGATTTTCTTAAAGGGTGGGGCTTATGGCACTGAAGCCAGGTCAGCGGTCTAAAATGGGCAGGTCCAAGGTTTACATTATGTTGGGGGTGTCTTAGATATTTCACACTCCTCAACACCTCCTTGGCTGGTTGCAGGGTCTCTCTTTGGACTTGATGCCTGGTGCCCCCCTCCTCAAAAAAAAAAGGAACCTTTTCTATCTTTGCAAAATGAAGTTCTATGTGGAGTTTGCTAAAAGTGAAATGACTTGATCCTGGGTAAGCAGGGACAGTCCTCCTCAGGTCTGCATTCTTCCCCAGAGGGTAGGGGGTGTTTGGGGGAGTGTGGGAGGGTGGGGGGGTGCTGAGATCAAACACTCAGGAATTTGTATCTTGCCAAAGCCAATGTCTGTACTTGCCTCCACCACTAGAGGGAGACATGGCAGCACAGAGCTGCCAGTCTGACCAGGGTTATGTTTAGCTGTCAGAACAGCGCGTCGTGTTTCTGGTTTGGATCGTGCGCTTATGCCCACCTGGCTGGTTCTACCTCACAGCGCCACCTTCAGACTCAGCTCAGGGTGCAGACTGCAATCCTTGCTGGTTTCTGTTGATTTCTTAACGTGATTTGACTAAATTTAATAGCTATGATTTAATGAATTGGTATAAAATAATTAGAATATTTTAAAACCAATTTTGTGTTGGGAATGTCTGATAGCAATGTTTAGGGAATGTGTAAAGGTCCGTAAGTTATTGCGTCGTAAGTTTCCTTGTGATTTTTAAATATGAATAATTTAGTGAAGTGTAACTTGATGATCCTTATTAGTTAAGGAGTTAGAATATTCACTCAGTGAAATACCAGTTCATGTCAAAAGGAAGGATCACTTTACATTATTGATATTTGGTTATTGGACAGAGATGAGTTGTTAAAAGAATTAGTGTGATGCATGACTGGGGGGTCTCCAGTGGGACTGAGCTCCTGTGGAACATTCCGGGTGGGTGTCCTTGGTCCAGGAGTCGTGAGAGGCACGTGGCTGTCCCACGGGCTTCGTCACCCCCAAGTGGCAGCTATGCTGTTTTAAGTTTGAAGTAGTTTTAAGTTTGTTGTGGTTTTGGTGGGAATGGGAGTTTAGAAGTGATTTTCTGTAGTATGTTGCTTGCCCATTGTAGATATATTAGGGTATTGTGTGTGTGTGTGTGTGCGTGTATGTGTGTGTGGGTCTGAGCCTTGAGTTTCTTGACTGTACGTGATGCAGTGTCCACCTGTCTGGTGACATTCACACTTAATGTTTTAGTAATTACTGATGATGACCCCCCCCCCCCCCCCAAGCAGTTGACACTGGGAATGTTCTAAGACTAGCATGAAAATACCCAGGCTTTAGGTTAGATCCAGGCACTGTGAGGTATTAATATGGCCGATGAGGTCAGAGCCGTGCCGCGCAGCCCGTCGCCTCGGTAACTGCGCTGCAGAACACTGGGGTCTTTGTGTGCAGCCCCTGCGAGCCCCGCGGCCCAAACGCCACTCACTTCCTGTTGGTTGAAGCCTCGCTGTGTTTCTCACTGGAGTGCTGCGGCTCCACGCTGAGCAAACTTGCAGGCTTGTTTGTGTGACTGCGTGTGGTGTTACTTTCAGATGGTAATTGTGGCGGGGGCAACTATTGTAGTTTTTTGTAATAAGCATTATTTTGTGATATTTTGTACAGAATTATTTATGAAGTGTTAGAATGTCTAAAATTGTCATTCATTTACTGCTAGAGTTTTAATGAGTGATTGTACCTATAAACGCAGCACTTACTCTTTGGGGATTGAAGATGATTATTTTGGAGTGATGTTGTAGCCTTTGAAGTGGAGTAATCCACAGACCACGGTCTACCCAGTACTCTGCTGGTCGTCTGTGTCTGTTTTCTGCATACAGAGTGTAAACAAGCAGAACAAATGGCTGTTTGACATGAATAAACCTTTAAAAGATCATTATGGGATCCATACTGATAAGGGTCACATAAGTTTTGCATTATATTCAGGGATTGACAAAACTGGTATTTGCAGTATAAAGGTTAAAATGTGTGGTAATTTCTTGTCATAACAGCACAAATTTGTCTGCGCCTCACTGTTAAGATGTTACTGGGCATTTTAACATTTGTACTGAGATTGTGTACTTGTGTCCATCCCTGAATATAGTGATGCATTTATTCATTAGCTCACTGTAGGATGTGCTGCCCTGTGGAGAAACTCCTGAACCTGGGTGGGAGTGTTCACATACTGCAAAGCCACGTCGCTCCAGTGAAGCTGGATCCCGCGGGGGGGGGGGGGGGGCATCAGAAGGGCTCTCAACTCATCCAGATAAGAAGGGATGCATGGAGGAAAACTCATGGCTCACTCACTGTAAGAGAAGCAGTTGCCGTGGATACCCGCATGTACAGACCACTGTAAGCATGTCAAGTTCATGCTATGTGCAGTTTGTGTGTATTCTGCAGCATTTGACATGAACAGGCTTTCTCATTGCGCCCTTTCAGTGCTCCCAGCCTGCAGTTTAACGTCGTTTCCTCTTATCTTGTACCGTGAGCCATTTCTGCCACTGAAGCCTGGCCTGTGCTCGCTGGGCGTGACTCGACAAGCCCCAGCCTGTCGGCCGCTTCGGCCTCTGCCTTCCCTCACTGGGGGGTGATAAAGACAAAGGAATGGAGGAGTGGGGAGCAAAGGCCGTGCTCCACATAGCTGAGAAGCCTCCTGCCATTTCGGAGTTTGTTCAGCCATACGATCGTGTTGCTGGCTTCCAAAACAACTAGGATCCATTTAAGGTTCTGGACAGAGCCCAGTGGTAGAGCCCAGTGGATGTGCAGGGCACGGGGTTGGGCTCCTCTCTGATTTCCAGTCAGTTCGTGAAACACGTTCAAGACGTGCATCATTAGAGCCTGTCTGAATCAAGCCCGTGCTGTGAAGTCAGACCGCATGACGGGAAGCCAAGGAGTAAATAAGCTGCATCTCAGGTGCTTCTGCAAACAACAAAAACATGTTTTGTCATCACCTGAGTGGCAGTGGTGAATCACTCGTTCTGGGCGGAGGTGTAAACAAGCCTTCAAACCTGTGTTACAGATACAGAGGTAAAAACAGGAGTAGTGGATATTAGGGGGTATATGGTATCTGAGCAGAACTGTAATTTTCTCTTTGCCATCTCTGGCCCTGGGGCTCCTCTCCAGTGAGGCTCCCTGAAAGACCCCCCCCCCCCCCGAAACGAATGACCGGCCAGCAAAAGCCATGTGTGCCTGTCAAAACTGCACCCAGTGCCTCCTCTGAGCTGATTGGTCAGCTGATGGCTAAATGTGTAAAATGAGGAGAAAGTGCTTGAAAACAGAAAAGGGGGTCGACAAAGACCCCTTGTTTCATGTTTGATGCCAAAAAGTAGTTTTTTTTGTAACTGAATGCTTATGTTAATAAAGAACTTCTGAATTTAAATTTGAAACTGCCCTGGGGAGGAGGGTGGATTGTGAGATTTTGGGTAAGCACAGTGGGACAATGAACTCTGCAAATGTTTTCTGAATGGCCCCCTTTCTCGGGCGCCCCTTCCCCGTGAGGCTGTGGGCTTGTTCTGGCCGCAGCACAATGGGCGGATTTTGGGGAGGGCGAGCCGATGAGCATAAAGGCCTCTTTGTCACGGCTGCCCTGTAGTCAGCCTGTGGTTTACACTGAGGGCCACCAAGGGCCAAGCAAACAATAAAGGGGGCCAATGCAATGCATTCAAAGAAAGAAAGAGTTAGTTTGTGTACAGCATCGCGTGGCCCCTTTGCCGATTGTGTCGTCAATAACTGCATATTTACTCCTGGCCTCCCACCTGTCAATGGTGCTATAGATGACAAAACTAACTTTTAAGACCCCCCCCCCTCCCCCAAAGTGTTTCGTCATTCACACCTGGCTTCAATGAAGCCGCCGGCTTCACTGTATGGTTTTCTGATTGGCCAGAAACAATGTTGACAACAACAGACCTTTGTGAGTTTGTAGAATCTTGTCAGACATAGCAGGTCTCCTGCAGGCCCAGGATCCCAACAAAAACACAGTGTTCTGCACGGTCTGGCCCCACATGTTGAAAGTCAATGTGTGATGTGTGTGATCAAGTAGGAGCTGTTGCTTTGGAGAACATCTGAAATTTTCCTGCTTAAATACAGCAGCCTTGCTTTTACCAGCCTGTTACCTTGGTTACTACCATCATGCAACTGTGACTGAAGCTGAGGATCACACAGGAACCGTGGGGAGGCAGTGGGCATCAGTGGGTGCTGCCATTGAGTCTGAATGAAACTTCAGGATTTTGCAGTGAGGACACAAGAGCCCCATGACAGCACTGCTAGCAGTCTCCGTCCGTGATTCGCTATTTGTAGCGTAAAGATAACACTGTTTAATCTTGAATGCAAGAAGTACAAATAAACTTATTCAGACTTTGAGAGGTTTACTCTCTCAACTACAAATCAAATACTGTACAAAAATATCCATAGATTTGAGTTCAGTAATAGACGCTGAATAATGAGCTGGTATCTTGACTTTATCGTCAGTGCTGCAGACAGAGAAATGCTAACCTTATAAACTCGATCACCATTTCCAGGCTGCCTTAAAGCGATGTTCGAATGCCCTGGATGAGGAGCGGACGGCCAGGTGCCCACGGCACTTACGAGAAGCCCCACCGCACGCTGCGCACTCACGTGACGACGGCGCTGCTCCCCCGTGCGGTAGCGAATGGAGCGCAGTCGGCTTGCGTGCGCTCGCTCGCTCCGGGTTCGCTCGCGGGACGCGGGTTACGCACAGACGGCGCGGGTTTGCAGCTCGAGCTGCTCCCTTTCTCTTGGTAGTTTCTTCGGGTCAGAAACAAAATGCCAGAACGGATCAGTATTTCGGAGTTCGTCTCGCTAGCGAATGAGGACACGGCCTCACCGGGCACGTCCAGCTTCCAGAGGAAGATGAGCGACTGCCGGAGCACAGTGAACACGTTGGAGGAGGTTGGTGAGACCTGAGGCTTGTTTACCTGTCTGGGGACGATCAGTTGTCGACGGGGACGCCAGGGATCTTGAGGGTGTTTAACAAAGTGCATGAGGTGTGTATGTCATGGGAAGTTAACTTCGTGGCCACTTAGGGAGAAGTTCAATCAATCGTAAGTTCGTCTGCTGTTCAATATTTAAACGGATACTAAAGCGGTGATCATAGTTAGTTCAGTAACAGCAATGGGTGGGGGACTGAACCGTTCTCTCATTTTTGAGGTCTTATCAAATTACAGACCCGTTCCAGTAAATTGATACCATGCGTTTGTAGCCCTGTAAGAAGGGAGGACTGCTGAGATTTTTTGTTGCACTGGAGA